AACAAGAAAAATACGACCAACCCATTACGGAGTAAGAATTAAATAAAAAAAAAAACACCCCCAAAAAAAAAAAAAAAAAAAAAAAAACTTCTTTTTTCATCGTTATGTTATAATTATTTATTATTTATTAATTTAAAACAAAACAAATGAAGTTAAAAATTGAAAGTTTATCGAAATTAAAACCAAATGGGACTTACTTATTTAAAAATGTTTCATTAATGTTATATGATAATGAAATATTAACTATTTCTGGTCCAAGTGGTGTAGGGTAATATGTCGAAGACCGACATATTTCTTTATCAATTTAATTTTGAATAATTTTTGTTTTCTAAGTAAAATTATCATTTTATAAAGGAAAACTACGTTGTTGAAATGTATCTCTCAACTGGCAATATATGAAGAAGGTGTTATATTCTTAGATGATAAGTATGTTATCTGATCTACTTTGAAGATCTAAAATGAATCGGTTTGGACCAATCTGTTATCTAACCATTCAATTTAGATCTCCTGAAGAATACGGAATTACAAATTGGAGAACTCGTATCATGTACGTCCCGCAGAGAACTCGTATGTATTTTTTTTTTTAATATGTTGAATTTGAAATTTCGTAATCAACTAATTGTGTACTATGTAATTGTTATACGATAATGCCATATGCTATATGATATTACTATATTGCTATATTATGGAATAGCTATAATGCAAGGCTCACCGTTGGAATTTCATGAAAATGTGCTAAAGTTTAGTTCACTACAAAAGAACAAGTACAATCATGATGATCCGGTAATGTTACTATTTTCATATTCTTAATAAGATTGTATCAATTTTAGGCTGACAGCATTCTAATTTTTACATTTTTTATTAATAGATTGAAATAGCTGAACGGTAAAGATAAAAAAAATTAAAAGGCGACTTTATTTATTATAGAGATATTTAACTGCGTTTGATTTTTAGATGGAATATTGATAGAGATTTATGGGAAAAAAATTGGAATCAATTATCAGGTGGTGAAATACAGCGCATTTCACTAGCTATTGCTCTATCATGCAAGCCACAAGTATTGCTTCTTGATGGTATAAAGCTTATTATTATTATTTTCAACACTATTTCTCCTTCTACTATCTAAAAAATACCATTAATTGATCCTTTTCTTTTGAAATTAAAGAACCAACATCGGCACTGGATCCTACAACTTGTCTTTTAGTTGAAAGAACTCTTAAAGATTATACTTGTATTTGGGTTACGCATAATATGGAACAAGAAAATCGTGTATCTAACCATCGACTAGTGTTGAATCCTTACGTAGATGAAAATGCGAATGAATCTGGAAGTATATTGATAAATATTTAGATATTTCAATAAACATTATATTTATATTTAAATATTGATAATATTGTTGTCAAACCACCAGTTAACAAAAAAAAAATATTATATAATAAATAAAATATTAATAGTTTTTAGTGTGCGGTGGTGAGTTTTCTTTAGACGTTAGTATCAATATTCATGAAATTGGTTAAAGTTTGGTTTTATTGGTCATTTCGTTATCAAATAATGAGATTCCTGTAAGTTGCTCTAACTCTTTTATTGCCTTTTCTGATTTACCCAATTCCACCTCTATAAATTATAGTGAATTATTGTGAGAATATTAGTTAATATATATGAATATATTCGTATAATAATCCTTACTGATAGTTCGCATCCCTAAGTTCATTGCCGGTTTCAAATTCCTAAATATAAACAATTGATGAAAAAAAATTGTTGAATGTTATTGATAGATATTATAGTATGAACAAATATAATTACGTACATTCCAATATCATCAAGAAAAATAGCATCTTTAGGTTCAATTCCTAATTTTTCACATGCGTATAAAAATATTTTTGGATCCGGTTTTCTAAAGAATCAGAATTCAAAATATCATATTCAATACAGTAATTTCTTCCATTTTAATAAATTTTTAACCTAATACTTTCACGTACCTCAGTCCAATAACACTAGACTCAAAAACCTCATCAAATAAACATTTCAATTCCTGAGGTATAGTACCGCCCACATCGGCTGGAGTTAAAAAATTATTTGTCAAAGCTGCTAGTTTAAATTTATTACTTGAACGAAGTTTTTTAAGTGCAGTGAAAACGATTGGGTCAATCTTTGTAGATTCAGACATCATTTCTCGAAATAATGATTTGCCATCTATTGATATTTGATCAGGAATTTGAGGGATCGTAGTTTCTTTTTACATAGATGTTGATAAATGTTAAAATAGTTTAAAATAGTTTAAATATCGAAATTTAATAAAAGAAATTTAGAACTCAGGGCTTACCCCCGCGTAATTTAAGATACTTTATGTAAATCTGTTTGTTTAATGGATTTGACAATTCTTTACTAAATATTTTATAAAATTCGTTGAGCGGAAGTTCTCCACGTTCTAATCGCTACTTTTATGTAAAGTATTTTAATCAATCAATCAAAAGATCTAATTAATTAAAAGCCATTCCTATTTATTTATTTTTTTTTACAGACCTGAAAAGCACCATTTTCACCATTTTTCACACTTTTAAAATAATTTGAATGAGAAAGAGAAAATGAGTGTGAAGATAACGAAAAAAAATAATAATAATCATTCTGAGTTAAACCCACATTATAACATTGATATAATTATGAGGCAAATTATGTTCTTTTTCGAATCTCATTATTCCTTCAAAAGGAGAGCCAACGCACACACCACCCATATCAAAAATAATTGCTTTGTAAGTCATGTTGTTTGAGGTCATGAAAAGAGTGATGAATTTCAAAAATATTTGAGGATCACGACTTTATTGTCACAAGATGATCGTGTGATGTAATTCAAAGAATATTTGGCATTTGTTCTTAACGCATGATGAACAGATCGATGAATATATTTTTTTTTATGCCTAATATTTAGGCCTATTTGAGAAGCACACTAGCTTCCTATGACCAAAATTTAACTATGCTACAAAAACATCTAATCCCATGGATCCGCAACAAGGAATTTTGTCCTAACGTGGAGGTGACGCATTTATTTCCCAAAGTAAATTCCCCTACAGGAATGACCATAACCTTAGCATTATGATATAAACAGTTCCATTTTTAGACTAAATAGCTTCGAAATCTTGCTTACCCGTATAAGCGCGAAATAACAGCCAGGGGCGTTATTTTGAACAATGGCCCGAATTAAGCTTAACTTAGGCCAAAATTTGAAACTACACCTCTGCGCGTTATTTCGCGCTTATATGATATAATCCTTTAATTGCAATCACATTTTAAAATTTAATTGTTAATGTCTGTAAATAGGATTTGTTATTACAGTTTCAGGCGTTATTATCATGTTTACCGCATATAGTAGACCCCGTGTCTTAGGAGTAAAATGTGGTTATATGTTACATGCACTCCATATACAAGACCTAATAGTAGACTCATTACTTTTACATAACGACAGAGCTTGAACAGGTTATTCGTTGGATATTTGAATTATTTAATAGTAATTCCGTCAGATATCCATTAAAATTTTTTTTTTTTTTTAGTTTACAAGAAGCAGTACAGTATTGTTTTACGTATCAGTGTTTTTCGATCAGAAACTCACCTTGTGATTAAGTTTTATCTCTGTAGGCTGATTCAGGAATGCAACCATAACGAATCAAATTAGTCACAAAATAAAACTTTACAAGAATCTACTTAATCTACTAATTGTACTGTATGCGCCGTATTTTAAAGTTACCCCTTGTTTGGAAGCTGCTTAAAGTTACCCCTTACTTCTGTACTTAAGTTGCCAAAGCTACCCCTTATGGTATTTTTATTCTTCTATTTATGGTCATTTTGGAACCACTTTACATAGAACCTACCTTCTATTGCTATGTGAAGATGAACCGGATTTCTGAGATAGTATGGTAGTTACAC